GCCCATTTGCTTGGATCAATTACTCCTCCACCATGTTTTACCGAGTGAAGCGCAAATTCTAGTCGACAAAAGCCATCCTGTGTAGGTCGTTGGGTCAGAGAGGTGTACAAGCCATCATACCACGTCAAGGTGCAGAGTAGACAGGCCGTGTATTATGGAGGTTGAAGAAAAGATTCAACTGAATAGGTCAGTTATTTCCGCCGCAGAAATGGAATAGATTTTATCAACCTTACTCAGATCATCTAACGAGGTGGGAACGTCGATGAAGAAATTATTCTATTCCAACTGTGCTGATCTAGNCTAGACCATGAATTCAGATGCTCCGGGTGTGCCCCAGAATCGATTGCAAATGTAGCAGAAGCGAGGACAGCTATGAAAGACAGGTTTCTGAATGAGTTAGAATCCCGGTTAAATATGTCGAGTATAAGGAAGAAAAGAATAAACCGGAGAGCCTCAGAACACGAGCTCACTTCGAGAAAATAATTAGTTAGTTGGCGATGAATGCAGCAACTTGTAGAATTCATGTCTAGAAAAGAAACAACTCAAAACTTCAGCATGTTCTCGAGCTCCCATTGATACCTCAGCAACCAGATTGCTTTCGTTGGAAATAACACATTGAAGTGACCAGCAGAATAACCGTTTCTATTCAGTTTTTCTTTGTCGATTATTTGATGAAACCAACGGAAGTCCGTCTTAGAAGATGTTAGGAGCAGTGGAATGAAGAAATAAAACTCGACAGTTCTGATCAGAAATAGCAGGATATTGGAAGATGAATGACGCATAGGAGGGAGTAAAAGGGAACAGCAACCCGCAAACAACTGTCAAAATCTTTATTACCCCGCCTGGCGACGTAGCAGTGCCAAAGAAAACCTGGAAGTGATGCTGTCCTTTTTCCTCTGACCACTGTGATACTGTCTTTGATCCGTAACGAAACTCGGCCAAATGCGATAAACGAAAGTCAGACAGCCCAATGCGTTGGCCATTATTGGTGGACTCCAGAGGGTGGACTGGATGGGTTCTGCCACTACACGTTCGGATGATGCACGTCGTGTCCACGGGGGGAAAGAGAGCGCTTGATTGGATCCCGAATCGATAGGACGAGCGGAGAGACAGAGCACAGATGAAGTAATTTGGTTCTGGGCAATAGCACTAGGAGACTTGTCAGAGTGAGTGGGTTGCACTGTTTCCCAACGATGAAGCCAGCTGTTTGGGTCATTCGTCCAACCGCAAGTGTCCGTGGTGAATGTGCAAATGTGAAGCGGTTTCGGTTCGAGAATAGCTGAAGTGTAGGGGGAATGTGCAGATGTTGGGTAAACAGCTGTCGAGTCGACAGACTAAACTAAAAATTAAAATTTAGCTTTGTGGACCGTGAGCAGTAACCAAACTCAAAGTGTCTGTTACATATTTTACCCTTCTCGACGCTGGAGCAGAGCTAGACTCAGTCCTTCGATTCGAGTTGCGTCAGAGCCTCGCTTTAGGCCCACGTCCACACGGAAATTAAATTGCAAACATTGTAATTTCAGGTCGACAGGAAATGCCGGACTCCATAATCGTGACTGTATTGTGCTAGGCATATTCATCCCGGTCGGTTTTGTCTTTCGACCGATTATTGGTGGATTGGGTATGAGCCATGGAGAATCTGCAGTAGTGTCTGATGACGGAGGATTCGATTCAGTTGATTTGGACGAGAAGCAACACATCCGATTCTCGACCTCGTCTTGTAGCACCCAGCGATGACGCCAACTGTTCAGATCATTTGTCCAACCACACAGTCCACTAGAGAATGGACAAAAGTAGACCGGTTTGGGAGTCGAGTTGGCTGCGGGAGGGCAAAGTATGGTTGGCGAAATCGATACAAAACGTCCCTCAGGTGTAAAGAAATTTTGGTACGGATGTGCAGCAAGCAAGAGAGAAGAAAAAATGCCTTGTGGAAGTCTCAATGAAATATATGGCTGTAATCAAGTTTTATGATTACCATAAGTCGGTCGATACCGCTAATGCCTAAAGAAATAAGGCCTCTTATAACAAGTCCATTAGATTCAGCTTGAATAACTTTGATAATTGCTTTCCACGTTACAAAAGTGTAAAATATTCAGACTGAACTATGGATAAACACGCCCATCGGTTTATTAAATCACCCTTCTTGACGACGAAGCACAGCCAGTTGAAAACCATTTGGTTGCACATCGATTTGACCCGACCGAAAAGAATACACCAAGGCTAGGCATCCCAATCGATCTCTTTTTCGAACCGGCGGACTCCATATTCTCGATTGTATGAGATCGGTATCCGATTGATCCTCGTCCACCTCATCCACCGGATCACGTGACCAGGGGGAACGAAACGTGGGGCCAATCAGATCACTGGCGGGTGTAGCGGACAAACACAAAGCCAGATTGTTTTTCATTTGTTCCTCTGTGCGAGTCACTTTCCAGTGATGTTTCCAGCTGGTATGATCATACATCCAGCCACAAGTATCATTGTTGAATTCGCACACATGGATAGGGTCCGGGTAGGCTGGAAGAGCGACAATGACGCAGTTGGTATTTAGAACAAACGACCACAATTCGCGTGGGCGGGTTGAACGATTGTTATAAATGACAGCGCAACTGCACCAAAGTGAATATGCAATCGAACGGCGAAATTCTTGACAAACTAACGCGTAACCACACGTACACTTGCGCACCCGCATGGAAAGCCGTAAGATAGGAACACCTTGAACACAACTAGCATTTGCTTCCGTGTTCTAGCATTGCACCTAACCCCGCATGTTAGTTCAAATCTGAACTCAGCTACTTACGTCTGAGTGGTAGAGAAGTGACCTCGCAATATAGGGAAGGGAACGCAGCGTTCACGATACAATAACCCGTCCTATGCAATGAAGCTCGTGTGCGTGTGTGAAGCGCGTGATTTGCACATCTCTTCGTGAATTAGTCGCAATGAAGATTTGATTCATTCACATAGAAGGAAAATCGGCACTATTTTAACTGTCATTTTCTCTTCTTATTAAGCCATTGTGAAACTAGTGCTAACGCAAAAGAAATAGTTTTCCGGAGTGTAAACGAAGTTTCAACTGCATTCAGAGCAAGTACCGCTATTTTAATCAGGTGTGACAGCAGAATTTAGAGGACGAACTGTGAACAAGGATATGATGCGTAGTGTCAGCAACAGCGGTCCATCTTAGTATCATTCTAATATTTTGCGACACGCACTGCTGAAGAAGGCCTTCGGTAGTTGTCAGGTGGGCAACGAGAAGTGCGGGAAATCAAGGATGAGAAAGAGCATGGATCAAAGGCCAAGTCAGTCGATCTCGAACGGTTGGGTTACGCAGAGGAGAATAATGCAAAATCAGCCGATCCTGAAACAACATGGAATTCCGAATAAGTGATTCGCTTTCGATGCTTAGTGAACGCACACAGATAGAAGCGAAGATCCGAAATTTCGGGCAGAGCCAGAGCGAACAACTCGGGAACGAAGAGAGGGAAAAGGGGCACAGAGAGTGGACCGGTAACGGACAACGGTTAATATTAGACTCGAATCAACCGATTCTACTGCAGTCCAATTAGCTTGGGGATCGTCAAAAGTATTGGCGAAAATAAGGGCGATATTCAAAGTAGTATGGTTATGATGTGTTCTTGGTGGGGGACGCGTACCGGGAACCAGAAAGTCCACACACTACGACGGTAGCTATTCTAAAATCTTGATCTACACAGACGGAACTGATAAATTAAGGAAATGAATACGGGAAATGCGTTCAGACTAGGGAGGAGAAAAGATGGAAGATTTGAAGGTGCAAAAAGAGAAGTATAGTAAATAGAATAACTCAAACACATAGAATTAACGATGCAAATCATTCACCCTTCTTCACGACGCAACAGAGCCAATGAGAATGCTTTCACATCTTCCGGTGCAGCGGAGTAGGTACTGAAAGAGTACGTAAACTGAATGCAACCGAGGCGTAATTTCTTGCGTATCGGTGGACTCCATAAACGCGACTGAATTGGACCATCTGTCTTTTGTTCATCTTCATCTTCCCCGTACGGATTGTCAAACCAATGAGAGGCAGGTGAGCCATCCGGATTGTTATTCATGGGTTTGGCAGATAAACACAGACTTTGTCCATATAGCTGTATGTCACGCTCCTCGCTAGTCAATTTCCATCGATATTTCCAGCTATTGTGATCGTTGGACCAACCACAGGTATCCGATGAGAAGTTGCACACGTGAAACGGTGTTGGTAACACAGTGAGTTCGGCTGTGAGGAAGGGCGGGAATGCGACTTCGGTTAGAATCTTTGTTGTACCCCTACTTGGTTGTTTTGAATCAAACCACATTATGCGAACAATAAGGAGTACGACTAGTGGAATACCGTGGACAGGTTATTCAGGTTTAGCGCGTTTCCAGTACGATCATGTGTCACAAACGCTAAGTCAAACCGTACACATTCCTGCTGTTGTCGTCCGATGGTGCACAGATGTAGCGATAGAAAGTCAGAGGAAGTGGATAATACCATCAGAAAAAGTGATGCGGTGGTATTGTTTCTAGGACCAAGAAGCCGATTTTCACCATTTTTCTTTCTGCGTAGTTGACTGGATGGACGGATAGTGGAGATGCAGTTAGGTGATACTGAATGTGTGTTCGTGTGTGCGGAACAGTAAACGAACTACTGTTTAGCACTATTAGAGACACGTTTAGCAAAAATCATAGATCCGCGCCAGCTCCATCCATTGGACCAAATTCAGACGATATCGCCTTGTGTTGTAGCCTTGACGCCGTGTACTAGTGCTGTGCTCGGGAAATGGAAGCTTGGGTGGTCGATAATTTTCAAATCACGAAACCGTCTGTCAGGAAATGTGTTCCGTTGAATTCCTGGTTCGTTTACGATTATCCAAAGGCCAGATAGCAGCTTTGAAAAGTTTTCAAATAAACAAAAG